ATGAGCTCCTTACTGTGCGCTGGCTCAGAAGGATGAGCTCCTCACTGTGCGCTGGCTCAGATGAGATGAGCTCCTCACTGTGCGCTGGCTCAGACCGATGAGCTCCTCACTGTGCGCTGGCTCAGACGGATGAGCTCCTCACTGTGCGCTGGCTCAGACCGATGAGCTCCTCACTGTGCGCTGGCTCAGAAGGATGAGCTCCTCACTGTGCGCTGGCTCAGAAGGATGAGCTCCTCACTGTGCGCTGGCTCAGATGAATGAGCGCCTTACTGTGTGCTGCCTCAGACCGATGAGCTCCTTACTGTGCGCTGGCTCAGACAGATGAGCTCTGGTGGTTGTTTTTAAAGAAGCAAATGACCTCACAGAGGTCAGAGTGGAAAAGAACTACCCACAGGTCTGGTTCGCTTTCTGTGTCAGCAGCTGGGGAATACGGAGGGAAGCGCAAGGAGTAGGGCCAGTTTTAAACTAAATGCCTTTGGCCCAGCTGGCATGGCTCAGAGGTTGAGCATCGCCCTACGAGGAGGTCACGGTTCCATTCCCAGTCAGGGCACATGCCTGGGTTGCAGGCTGGGGTGTGGGGTGTGCAGGAGGCAGCCAGTCAATGATTCTCTCGCATCACTGATGTTTCTCTCCCTCTCTCCCTCTCTGTAATCAATAAAAATATATTTTAAAAATTAATAAATACACTAAATGCCTTTGGTAATTGATCCCGACTCTGGCACTGGAATGTCTCTGGCTCCCTGCCCGTTACAGGAGGAGACGCGGGCGGAGCTGGCCAGGCCCGGGTGTCTCTGACGTCGGCCCGTTGCCAATGTTCTGTGAGGAGGCCGGAGGCCGGGGCCCGGCATGGAGGCCGCTCAGCTCTGAGTGGGTGCCAGGCACCCTTTCATACGTAGGCTGGGCCCACTACGGCTTCCGAGACACGACAGGGGGCCGGTCCCAGGAGAAGGGCCGGGCTCACTGCTGGGCCGGGTGCAGAGACCGCACGGGCGGGGGAGGGAGGCGCTGGCCGTGTGCTCAGCTGCACCCTCCGGCTGGCAGGGAGGTGACAGGGCGCTCTGGCCGTGCTCTCCCACCGATTCCTGTGTGCAGCCCAGGGGCAGCGGTTTCCCGAAAGCCCTCGCGCCTCTCCCCATGGCATCCCGGGCTTGGCCTGCCTCCTAGTTGGCGCGTCTCCCCAAGAAAGTACCGGGGCCCTGCCAGACCCTCTGATCTCGGGGAACGGCCGCCAGGAGCAGAGCGGTGGGAGGTGGTCGGCCAGGAGCCGAAACCAGACTCACAGAGGAAAACAGGAAAAGCCCGAGGAAGGCTTGCGTGTGACACCCACACTGTCCTGTGTCACTTTTTCTGTCGCCCTGAGCCCGGGCCACGAGTTTGCTCAGTGGGCACTGCAGACCCACCCTCATGAGGACTCCACCAGCCGGCTTGACCTCAGCGCGGCCGGTGGCCCACCCTCTCCCAGTGGGTCTACAGATGCCACGCTTGGCGAGTGAGCCGGTAGCTAATGTGATGTGTGCAGGCCAGTGACCAACAGAACCCTGGACCGGCCACGTTCTGGTCTCCCGTCAGCACGGCACCTGGAGGGTCTCCAGGCTGAGCAGGGTCTGAAGGGGCCCCGTTCCGGGCAGCGCAGCCAAGGGAAGGCCTGCCTGCCGCCTCCACGATACTCACCATGTACGAAGGGAAGATGAGGACCCGCTTGTGCTTCCCACAAGGCCACTGGGGGTCGTCCAGGAGGTTCGGGTCGTAGTCCACAAAGTCTCCCAGGTCGCTGCCTAAGGGCCGCAGGCAGAGGGACAGTCAGGGCCAGGCCTCCGGGCAGCGCAGAGGTGAACGCCCGTGCGGGGGACTGAGGGCTGGTCAGGGCACCAGCTCGGTCGCCTGCCTGCCTGCCATGCAGTCACGGTCTCTGCGGCCAAGGAGGCGTGTCCTCTCCGACAGGGGCACCAGATTCTTCACGTGACGATGACGTGTGAATCTCCCTGACCCGGGAGAGCACAGAACCCCGGAGCATGAACAGCACAGGGACACTCGAATCAGAACACGTGGCGCCGAAAGGCTCGTTTCTAACCCTGCAGGTCACTGGAGCTGAGCCCCATGAGAAGCACGTTTTGGGGTGAACCCTCCTGGGCAGACTACTGTGCCCACATAAACACAGACCAGAGCAGGTCCATGCACTTGGGGACCAGCGTGGCGGGAGCACGGACAGTGTTTCCGACTCAGCACCTGGACAGGCTGAGCCCTCCGATCGCCTGGGGTCTCCGAGCAGTGGCACTGCTCACCGAGAGCTCCCGTCAGCCCCAGAGGGCCGCTCAGGCCGAGCAGGAAGCACCCGGCCTCCTTCCGCAGCCCATCCACTCGCACGAGGAGAACCACGAGGGGTGTTCTCACACCGGGTCCTGGGCTTCTGGCCCAATTATTTGAAGAAAAGCCCAACATGAGCACTGAAAAGTGTAGGCAAGAAGCAGGTAACAGGGAGGTAACTGAGGCGCAGAGAGGTGGCGAGAAGCCGGATCCTGCCCAGCCCCCTCCGCACGAGGCGTGGGGTTTCCCCGGGGGGCGCTCAGGGGCTGGGCGGAGGCATCTCATTGGAGAGGCCACCCTCTGGCCGGTTGTGAGGCTGAAATCCTCTCGCCCAATCACGTCGCCTGTGGGATGAGCTCACACTCAGGGACCCGGCCCTCCCGTCTGCACACAGGAGACCCCCCCACACTGTACCCCAGACGCCTCCTGCCGCAGCCCCCAGACCTGTGTCGAGGCTCCCCTGGGTGCTGCTGGCCCGCCCTATGGAGAGGCTGCGGTGGCTCAGGGTGCGGAAGTGGGAGAAGGAGGAGGTGGAGTCGATGGTGCCCCTCCGGGCTCCCAAGGCGTTTGTGGGCCACAGGAACTGGGTGTACGACACCGTCTGGAAGGGAGACAAAGGGCAGGTGAGGGGCATCCCCGGGCAGCGTGCGGCTGCGCCCGACCCAGCGACCCTGCACGTCTCCCACTGCGACTGACACCAGGGACCTGGAAGATGACTTCTATTCCGGCCAAATCTGTGCCAGAACCACTGCCTGTGGCTGTCCCTGACCCCCCTGGTGAGAACGCTCAGGTGACGCGGCCGATGTGTGTTTGATAACAATGTGTTGTTGTCCTAGCCCAGGGGTGGGCAAACTTTTTGACTCGAGGGCCACCATGGGTTCTTAAACTGGACCGGAGGCCGGAACAAAAGCATGGATGGAGTGTTTGTGTGAACTAATACAAATTCAAAGTAAACATCATTACATAAAAGGGTACGGTCTTTTTTTTTTTTTTTAGCTTTATTCATTTCAAACGGGCCGGCCCACGGGCCGTAGTTTGCCCACGGCTGTACTAGATGCTGTGGGGATGGTGTGGCTGCGTGAGGCACAGACTGGCACTACTTTCCATGAACCAGCACCTGCAGTGTTCCAGGCCCAACAGCTGGAGTCCTTGACGAGGGAAGGGAACCGGGCCCTGCAGGAGATCCATCCACGGGGCTCACCTCCGCTCTGTCCCTCCCCACAACCCCCCCCCCCCATTCCTGGGTGGGAAACTTCAACCCTTCAGGAGAAAAAGCAGCACATGTATCTTTCTCTCCACCGGCCTGGGGACCACGGCTCAAGCCCTGGGGGAGCTGTGCCAGGGGGTCCTGTGCATGCAAACGGCTGGGACGGTCTCCCCAAGGACACCCTGCACGGTCTCCCCCACAGGCTTTGGGGGCTCATGAAAGACTGGATTCACCTTCACACCCTAGACGTCACCCCGCAGCCTGGTGAGCTGCGTGTGGAAGAGGCGTGGCAGCCCTGGTGCCTGGGGTCTCCGTCGGAGGCCGACACCCCCATCTAGTTGTGGGGAGGCGGCTTGCGGGCACCATCCGTTACTGCTGTTCACACTACCCACATCCCTGCACCCCAGAGCATGCATGTGGACACGTGTGTGCACACGCAGGCAGGGAAACCTTGTGTTGCTATGTAATCGCGGCCTCGATGGACTTCGCCTGCCCGCTGGGAGCCCAGGAAGGTGCCCCCCACCCCTCGAGCCAGGTGCGTGGCCTGCCCCCTCTTCTGCTTCCCGACCCTGTGGCTTGGGCACAGACTCGCCAATGGGAGGCGGGCAGCCTTACCTTCCCGTCAGCGCCCAGCTCCACGCCTTCCAGGCCAATGACCTCTTTCAGGCTCACGGCACCTGCTGACTGTCTCCCTCCGTCCGACTTCAAGTCCCTGGGAGGACAAGCCAGAGAGGAAAGCTGCTGTTTGCACCCAAAAGAGGTGCTGTGATGCTCACTACACGAGGCACCAGTCATGCTGACGAAAGGGACCGAGCAGGCCTCCCCTCGCCCCTCCGCCGGGCCGGGTCAGCGGCTCAAGGGCAGCCCCCCAACGCCCCCCACTCTGACATGAAGGACACACAGCTGAACGAGTGCCTGAGGGAGAAAGGCGGGTGCAGAGTGTGGATCCCCGGCCTCCCTCCACTCAGCAAGTCTCTCTTCTCTGAGACGGTCATGGCACAGGCACCAGGGGGCACCCCGGGCACAGGGACGACACTCTGCTGGGCTCTCGCTGCTGGCTTCTTCTTAAATCTGGGGGAGACCCCTCTCGACTCCCCTTTATTAGACAGGAGAAAGAATTTCTCATCCTG